CATATCGATGTATTTTTTCCATAATCCAGGCAGCTGAGACAACATTGGGTAAAATGTATTCACATGTTAGTACGTACTATTTATATATATACGGTGGGCGTATATTAGTAGAGTATCACTATATACGTATATATAGTATATAACTATATACGTACTATATAGGGTATATATATTATAAAATTACGGGAATCATTTTCGGCCTTTCGGCATTCGGTTTTCGGCCAACTGTTTCCTATTTTCGGTATCGGTTTCGGCCAAGAATTTCCCCTTCGGTGCACCCCTAATTACTATGTGCCAAAAAATGTGTTAAAAGTCATTCACATATCATGTCATAATTAGGCACAACATTATTAAAGCAAAACATAAGCTTTGGCTCCTAATTTATTTGTAGTTTTGTCTGTCTGACTGTTGTTTTTGTTTTACTCCTGTTTCTTCTGTAAAGCGACCTTGGGTCCCCTGAAAGGCGCTATATAAATGTAAGTTATTATTATAATTATTAATATGTATTAGCTATAGTTTTTTTTGTTGCTTTATGTTAGACAATGCCTGCACACACTGATTATTAAATTAAAAAACGAGGGCAAAAGGGCAGGTGCCCAAACCACCCTTGAGGTCTATCTGTGCATGTGCCTGCTCTCTATAGTCATTATGGAGGTTGTATATTTATGGTGCCAACACATTGAGTGGTGTTAATATTTAGTCTACAGTTGTTGATATAAATAGGGTGGACACACAACTAAATAAATGTATATGTTGGCTGTATGAACCAACGAGGATACCCCTTGCAGCTGAACAGACCCAACTGTGTCCTGACCTCAGACCTTTGTTCAGGCAGGTTTTGATATGCAGTTGGTTCAAAGTTGAAAATGAACTGAATTACATTATTCTTCAAATTTAGCAGCAACACTCCAAAGTCAGTTTGACATTCAACATTAGTATTGCATTGTTTCATTTGTGAGTATATCAAGTAAACTGAGTTCCTGTGCAGTGTAGTATAAAGATTCATTTAGAATACATGCATGTACAGTTAGTGTGCAGTTTATAGAAAATGAATTGGCCTCAGCAGCAGCTTAAGTGCATTTCCAGAACAACGTTGAGGGGGGCGGGTACCTTGATGAAGACGATGCCGTTGGGGGAGACGGTGATGTCATTGCGCAGCTGGTAGAGGAGGTCAGGGGGAACTCGCAGGGAGGTGCAGCCAAACCTGAACTCATCGGGCCTGAAACAGAAGCACACAGGTGTCAGAGGAACAGAGGGAATATATACACATATTTGGGCTGTCAATCTTTTGGAAAATGTAATCGCGTTAATCTCAATAAATATGCTGTGATTCATTATTCATAATGATCACAAGTATAAAATACTAGTATCTACTTGTATTTTGGGGAGATATAAAAGAAATACATGTGTGGTGTTGTCATAAAGAAATGCATGAGACACTCCTGTGACACTGCAAAGACCTGCACATAGTGCTGGTCAAAATCTTCTCTTTTCCTCTGGGTCATATAAAGGGTTGGGTATCGTCTAGATTTGAACGATTCCGGTTCTGCTTCTCGATTCCGGTTCTTTTCAGTTCTTGATTTAGTGTCTTTGAGAGGGTAAAAATAAGTCCCACACCAATTTCACTGGGACAAAATGTATTTATGAAAACATTTAGTCAAATCAGTATTCATATTTACAAATCACTCCATACTTTTTTGTTTGGTTGCTGTTATTGAATACAATTATATATTCTGCATTGTTCTTGCATTCACAAGTTAGTTAAGTGGTGCGATTTGAGAATTCACGGTTCCCCAGTCTCCTCTGATGTTACACTGCAACCTGCCTGTGGGACAGAGTCCAACCACACAGTCTGTGTCCAACACATGTCCTGCAATACATCTGCAACAGCTGCGCACTGTTTGTAAAAGTAAATAAATAGTATTTTATACTAATAGTACCCGCCTCGGCCGCCACTGCGTCAGGCCGTAGTGTCCTTGGGCTTTACCCGTATTTACTCCTGTGGGTAATGTCCACAGTAATGACATTTACTTGTCTAATATGTGTAATATGTAATTGTAAAGTGCTTTGAGCACCTGTAAAAGCACTCTAATAAAAAATGTAATGCATTATTATTATTATTATTTTCAGTAGAAAAAGCAGCAAGATGCATTTCCTTAGGAATCGATGAGCAGAACTGAAATTAACATTCCTAAACGATACCGATGGAATCGAAATGTTGGTACCCAATCCGATGATGTTGATATTTTAATCAACTGACAGCCCTAATATATATATGTATATATATTCATATATATGTTCATATATATACATACACATACATATATATATATATATATATATATACACACATACACAAATGCTTGCAAATGTAATTGAAAGAATCCAGCATAATGTGATGTGCTGAAGTTGAACTTCAAACCTCTTTCTACTGAGAATACAAATCATAAAGGTCTGTGTGTCTGGCATTGCTCTTTTTTATACCTTGGAGTAGTAAAAATATGATGTAGAAAATGTTCATGTCTCCTGCTGTTGCTACGCAACTACAGTTGGTAGGTGAAAAAAAAAGAAATATAATGGAAGTTCTCTCTGAGCTGTGAACACCACACAGTCTGCTCCATGAAAAAATAATGAGGCAGGTAAGGCAGACATGCAGCCTAAGCCAAGTGTGTGTGTGTGTGTGTGTGTGTGCGCTTGTCATGCGCTTACGTTCCCAGGCTGTCCACGTGGCCCAGGCAGGTGGAGTAGCAGTAGTTGTACGCTATGACGATGGAAGGATAGAGAGACTGGAAGTCCAGCACCACCACTGAGTTGCTGTAGAAGCGCGACTCGGGCTCCATCACCAGGGGGATGCACTGAGGGGCCCTCTGCTGGGCCCGCTGCTGGACGCTGGGGGTCACAGGGATGTAGTTCAAGGGCTTGGCCACACGGAGCATCATGGACTCAACACGGTACTGAAAGAACAAAACAGAAGGACATAGAATAGTTTAGTATTGTAGTTATTACAGAATGTTAGTGGATATCCATAGCTGTTGAGGTATGACAGAGTGTGGGTTAAGTGTGACGTTTGTGTTGGTCCTGTACCTGTGATCCTCGGGTCAGAACGTGTAAGAACTGAATCCCAAACACCCGGGCCAGCTCGCTGGTTCTGCCGATGACATCCTGCTGCTGGAGGAGCTGCATGGTGCCCCGGACCCGGCTCACATAGTGGTCCACCGCCTTCCACCTGCCATACACACATGTTGATAGAGAAATGAAAACATTCAAGCAATAAAACATGTCCACAGTTGGGGTGAATTGTGTGTTGTTGGCACAGACCTGTAGAGGTGTGTGTTGTGGTCGAACCAATCGGACAGTGTGCGGGAGGTGTACAGGGGGAAGCGCTGGTGGAGGAAATGGAAGGCCACGTTCTCAAAAGTGTAGTTGTTCAACGCCGCCTGAAGGACGGAAATAAAAAATCGACCATTAATCTTTCAGAGATACTTTCAGTCAGGCTTTGATTCCTTTGCTGATGTTGTTGCAGCTCAACGTGTATGTGTGTGTCAGGGTTTCCGTTAGCCGGTAATTACCGGTTTTTAGCTGGTAAAACGTATTAAAAACCGGTAAATTCAAATCCTGCCGGTCAAAATGCCCGGTAATAATTAGGGATGCTCCGATCGATTGGCCGCCGGTCATTATCGGCTGATATTCACTCTTAATAGTTTGATCGGTGCTCTCTATAAAGGCCGATCAGGAGAGCTGGATCTGATCGATATGGACATAAACAAGAGTGAAGTGTAACCGGACGCGAGAGAGAGATCAGAGATCAGATCAGCTGCGGAGTCTGACGGAGAAACGCAGCTCTGCATGATCACCTGAAGCCCCGCCCACTGTTTAGCGAGCTGCATGAGAAACTGACGGGCTGTCAGGAGAGAGAGGGAGGGAGAGAGAGAGAGAGAGGGAGAGAGAGATAGGGAGGGAGAGAGGGAGAGAGAGGGAGGGAGAGAGGGGGAGAGAGAGGGAGGGAGAGAGGGAGGGAGGGAGAGAGGCTCCGTTCCTCCCATCTACTATATGTAGTTTGTCCGGTAAAATTTATTCTGTCCGGACATTTGACCGGCAAGGAAAAATCCTAGCGGAAACCCTGGTGTGTGAGAGGATTAAGAACACCTGCCTCAGTCTTCATCACCCTCCACAGGTTGAGGGTGATGCGTCCGATGATGTTGATCTCAGTCATGGTGTCGGCTCCATACTCATCTCTCTCTGCAGCAAAGCGGTTCTCCTTGGAGTCACCTGAGGAAACGCAGAGACACACACCCAATTACAGAGGAGGACTCAACTGCCACACACAAACACCAATAACCCACGAGGAGGGGACACCATTCACCCACAAGGATGGGGGGTCCTACCTGGCACTCGGGACAGCTGCTGACACAGATTGACACCGAGCGCTGCGGCCCGCTGCAGGAGGTAGCCCCAGGAGCGCATCTGCACCTCGTACCCCACCAGGACGTCGGGGTCAAACCTGAGGAAAAGGAGACATCTCACTTATTTATTGAAAATATAGGGAGCAATATAAGAAGGAGCTGTGCTAACACCCACACACACACCTCCTGAAGACGGTGATGAGCTCCTGAAACAGCACCTTCTCGTCTGTGGCGTATTTCACCTGCAGCCTAGAGACGCCCGACCTGACCAGCAGGGGCGCCGTCGCTCTGTGACCTGCGGAAGCATTTGAACACACCATCAGCCTGCTTCACATTTTAACATCTTGTACAAATGTCCTCATTCAGAATAGGGCTGTGAAAGTGAGCGTTACCTGGGTCACAGCTCTCATGGTCTTTGTCCACCACGATGGCTCCCGTCAGCTGGCTGCTGTCTACATTTGGCAGAGGAGCATCCGAACTGAGGCAGTAGAATAAGGCACATATGGGGTCAAACTCGGGGTCAGGCTCAAGGTCCCGCCGAGTTCTTGCATGGAGCTCCATGCCCATCAGTGTTAGGTGCTGGACCTGAGGAAGGAGTGCAAAAAACAAAGGAAAAGTTTTGATGGCCAGCTGGTTCACCTCCTTCCTGTAGTGGGTCTCATCGTTGTTGCTGATGAGACCCACCACGGTTGTGTCATCCTCCGCAAACTTGACAAATGGTTGGAGATGTAGGTGGGTGTGCAGTCATGGGTCAGCAGGGTGAAGAGCAGGGGGCTGAGCACACATTCTTGGGGGGAACCCATACTCAGTGTGATAGTGCCTGATGTGTTGTTACCGACCCGTACAGATTGGGGTCTGGCAGTGAGGAAGTCCAGCAGCCAGTTGCAGAGAAAGGGGCTGAGGCCCAGGTTTGTTAGTTTACAAACCAGCAGGGGGATGATGGTGTTGAATGCTGAGCTAAAGTCTATGAACAGCATCCTAACGTAAGAGTTTTTAGTGTCCAGGTGGGTGAGGGCTGGGTGGAGAGCAGAGGAGATGGCATCCTCAGTGGACCGCTTCGCTCAATATGCAAACTAAAACGGTTCCAGCGATGGGGGGAGGGCGGATTTGATTTGCTTCATGACTAGCCGCTCAAAGCACTTCATGATGGTGGAGGTCAGCGCTACGGGGCGGTAGTCATTGAAGCAGGAAGGTGATGTCTTCTTCGATACAGGTATGATGGTGGATACCTTGAAGCACGAGGGAACAACAGCCTGGCTCANAAAATTGAAGGTTGGCTCTTCATAGGGAACTTAAATATAGTTGGGGAAAGTATATTTTAGCATAATCTTGACTAAAACAAACAGATGCCATTCAAGTACACTTGAATATCCATGCCATAGCACACTGCTTACTGCATGGCTATTTAGACCACACCTCCTCCATCACATGCACAGATGAGTAATATCTAACTCAACATTCCTGTTTTCGTTCTTCAATTAAACAAATAATTGTTCAATAAAATAATCAAAACTTGTTCTGTTCTACTTAAAAAAAAAGAANGAGGGCAATCCAGCTGGTCTCAGAGCAGCCAGGGCCGACCTATCCCGTGGCATCCGGAAAGCCAAACGACAGTACACTCGGAAGATTACAGCTCACTTCCGTGACAGCAGAGACACACGGAGCCTGTGGCAGGGTATTAGGACCAGGAAGTGAGCTGTAATCTTCCGAGTGTACTGTCGTTTGGCTTTCCGGATGCCACGGGATAGGTCGGCCCTGGCTGCTCTGAGACCAGCTGGATTGCCCTCTCTGAAAGCGATGTTGCGGGACATCAGCAGCCCGTGGACCTCCCCCTGTCAGCCATGGCTTCTGGTTGGTCCTGATGGTGATCAGGTGTGGGTCACATCTTCAATGCATTTGGTGATGTAGCCTGTAACAGTTTCTGTATATTCCTGGATGTTGCTGTATTTCTAAGAGACAGATTTTAGAGACAACCCTAATGGCTGTGCAGACTCCATGGAAACACAGCTACAGCTCCCGTAGTTCAACACAGCTCTTCAACTTCACAATAAATGTTAACAAAAAGTCATGTTGGGATTTTCCGTTTAAAAGAAAACATGGCTGTGGTTTACTTGTGCTCATTTGCATACATTCTCATAACAGAAATGTGAACATTGATAAAGCCAGGTTCCCAATTCTTATTCTTTTGGTTGACAGTAGAGTCAAAGGTTTTAACAGTTTAACAGGAAATATATTCGTATCAGCCCATAGATTGGAATTACTGATGTTCCAGTGGGCCAAAATAGCCCAAAACCTCAAAACTGACCTGAGCATGAAAAACATGTTTAAGCATAGCGGTTCTCTCCCTCTTTGTTTGGTACAGATCCTCACAAACTAATCACTTAGTGATCTTTTGAATCTAATTTCCATTACATTTTGAACATTGATGCAAAAATGAGCATTCCTCCTATTGCGGTCCCAATATAATCAAAACAATCCCAATGACATAGTTTACGTTGAAAATCATTCAGCCATGATAGAGCTCTTTATCATTTCAGTTCAACTGGGAAATTCACTGGCCACAAATTGTTACTTTGACAACCAACAGATTTCATTCCACAGCGAGCTCTCACAGCTAAGGCAGAACTGCACATTAAATAATGTGGATGATTAACACATGTTTGTTGCCACTAAAAACTATACAAAACTCATTACATTGAACAGTTCACTGAAGAATTCTTCAGAATAAGACCAATCTAAAATATGCTTTCTAACCGCAGCCCTGACTAGCAAAGGCCACTCACCTCGTGCAGAGCTTTGGCCTCCTGGAGGTTCTGCATGCTGATTTTGAAGCCGTACGAGTTGGCTATGCTGGGTCCTTCAATCTGAGAGGAATCTTTCTTTGGCACATTCAAAGCAGCAAACTGATTCTGTGGAAGACAAGGAATGCATGATAAATCACAGTAAGTCAAACTTCTGAAGTGGAACGGGGACACACTTTATTCAGGGCAACAAGCTGGAGGAATACTGTGGGCCGCAGGTACAGATCTACACTGCTGTTAAAGATGTTCAAGTTGCTTCCCTACTGTGGTATTAGATGAGGTGAGGTCTAAAGAACTTCAAATGTTTGGTCTGACCTTCATCTGTGTGGTCAGAAGCACTCTTTTCAGAGAGTCCGCTTGACTTCTCCTTCGCTGCTGGAGTCTCTGAGAAACGGGGTCCTCTGCAGCAGGAATACAACAGTAAGAGCAGAAATGGACAATTCATAAAACAGAACTGCATGCAGCTGATCTGCCTACATTCCATATCGATGAAAACATTAGAAAGCTATAACACATTATTGGCACACTAGCACACATTACATTAGGGTGAAACAGCAGTTTTCTTACCCTCAGATTTGGGCGTGCTGCAAATTGGCTTCAGGTCCTCCTTGCTTCTCCGCCTCCGTCTTAAAAAGGGGGTGCTGTGAAGGAGGTGGGTACTCCCCTCTTCGCTGTTACTGAGATTCTCCATGGAGTTACAGAGCCTTGGTGACAGTGCTTCGAGACAGTCTTCACTGAGCTGGTGTGGCCCTAAGGGGCTGGGCTGAGCGGACTGCTGCCAGGGATGCAGCTCTGGGGATTCTAGACACGTGCTTTTATCATCATCGTCAGCATTGTTTTGGCTGACCTCCTGATCAATATCCACTTCATGTGAAACTAGTCTTAACTCTGATGATTCACAGTGAATGCCTTTATTTTTCATGGGTGCTATGATTAAGGACAGGTTGCAGTTCTTTCTCCTTGGAGTCCTGACCTTCTCTGCTGGACAGCTGGTAGCTGGGTTTCCCTCCACACCCAGCCCAGTCCTCCCATTCTTCAGCAGCCCTATTTGTAAACTCTCATACTGTTTTCTGGCTTCCAGCCACAGTTGCACACGCTCTCTGCTTGGTGGGTTTCTGCAGGGCAGGAGGATGACCTTTTTGTTGCTGCCGGAGGACAGGTCATACTTGGCCTGCTCTTTACTCGTGTCTGAGGCCTCAGATCCCTGGGCATGGGGAGATGAAGTGACATTGATGTGGGGGTGCGCCATAGCTGAGAAGACTGTCTTCCAGAAATGGAGGCCCTCCAAAGAAAAATCTCCACAGAACTCTGCTAGCTCCTTAGCCAGCCTAGTGCGCACCGTTAGCTTGCGGCCGCCGATCTCCCTAAAGAGGAGACAGGGGAATGTGATTAATTAACTTTCATTTCATTAACTGCAATTAATTACAACTTCAGAAGTGGAGAACTATGCCAAACGGATTGATATTAAATAATGCCCTGTAGATAATAATTATTAGTGCCAGACAGATATACTGTAGGATTTTGTGGCAGCCACTGATTGACATTTTGATTTTTTTTTGTATTTTTAAAAAGGGACAACCTAATTTTGGTTACTTAAAACTTCCTTTAAGATCTTTAGCATTGTCATACTGCAAGTTCTGTTCTCTCAAAATGTACAAAGCTACTTTTCATATTGTTTTTAAACCTTGATTGTTTACAACCATGTTGACTATCTTGCAGTTTCTCTTTGGGCACCAACTGTATATGCATGCTTGCAGGTTTACATGTGCACAATTTAAGCAAAATGTACTTGTCACAATACTACAACTACTACAAAATGTACTTGTTACATTAATAGTGGTCAAAAACTCCACAGGGTACCTTTCAGTAATAATTTACTCATCTGCCAAAAGATATGAAACAATATCTTTGATATGCTAAAATCTGCAGAAACTATGATGCTGGTGTAACACTCAGAATAAATTTTTCTATATTAAAAGCCTTCCAGATACAATTTAATGTAGATACATTTAGTCCACAATGTTCATTCAAAGGCCTATGCAAGATACCTTAAAGTAATTATTACTTCATCATGTGGCCTTTGGTACATATAGTCTTACATTGGTTTCCCTGGCGCATCCGAGGGGTCGCTGCAGAAGGGCTCCTGGAAGGTGGCCTCCGACATCTCCAGGTTCAGCAGAGTGCTGACGATCTCCTCCCGGTTTGGAGGGGACATGAGGGGCTTTAGAATGTGTGCTCCCCCTCCTGCTCCCCGCAGCAGCTGGCCCGCCCTGCCCTGGGATACAGAGCTGATGGAGCTCGGAGAGCTGCTGGGGGTGGTGGACGGCAGGCCATCACTGCCCTCCAAAAGCTCCCCGGTTGGAGAGCCCTCATGATCAACGAATGAGGCAGAGCTTAGAGGCAGAGGTATGACAGGGTCGAAGACAGAGAACAGCAGTTCTTTTCTTTCACAGTGAAAGTCTTGAAAGGGGCTGAGCGTATTGGCTTTACCTAAATACAAGTCCCACTCCCTGCTCTTATGTTTCTCAGAGTCGAGGAATGTGAGGTGATTTGATACAGACTCCCTGTTCTCAGTTTTATCAAAGAGGTCAGGGGTGACGGGCCTTGCTTCGTGCCATTCGGAACCCTTTTGAAGCTCGTCCCCAGATGCAAACAGTCTATCAGGTTTCTTCTCAAATCCCAGTCCTTGAGTAGACACTGCTTCCTGGCTGACATCACTCAGGAACGTAACTGGTAAATGTTTATCAGTCAGCACAAACTGACTGCCGCTGTATGGGCTGGAGAACTCCGTCTGATCAATGGCATTTATATCAAAGGTATATTTTTGTGGGAGCTCTGGTGACAAACTGTCCTCTATGAAATTGCATCTGTCCATGCCTGGGTCTGACAGGAAGAGGGGGCAATCATCTGACATGTTGCCATCCAGCTTCGTTGAGAGATTTGGCTGTGTGCTGCTTGCCTTGCCTTTCCTGATTCTGGGTTTCTTATCCTTGGGAGTGGTAGATTTTGGGGCCCTGGGTTTCCGTGGAGTTGTGGTGGGAGCTTTCCTGGATTTAGCTGGTTTAGCTGAGGGATCTAGAAGTGCTGTAGCCTGAGCCATGGCAGTGGGGTCACTGTCTGCACCAACCACCTGAATGGGAAGAGCCTGCCCCTGCTTCCTTCTCTGGAGAAGCTGCTTGAGGACAGCCAAGCCAGAGGGTGTCTCAGAAAGAGGGGGGATCGTGCCATTCTTAGGGCTTGAGTGGGGGGTAGCTGGCGATAGCTGGGAGTCTTTACTGTCTTCTAGTAAAGGACTCCCAGCCAGAGGAGGTGGAGGAGCCATGCTCTCCTGTGAAGCCTCTGCCTTTACCACAGTGGTCTGGCAGCCTTGCTGCTTCTGCTGAGCTGGGGCTGAAATGCTTTGGTTGATCTCCATGATGGAAGTCTCGCAGTCTTCAACCTTTGGTTCTATAGACTGGCCTGCAGAGTTAAAGTCTGTTATTGATGTTGGGTGAGACGTGCCCTGAATGTTGCCATCTGTGCTTACTGGCTGCTGAAAGGAAGGGACTTCTTGAGATGAACTCTCAGAAGGAGGTAGCTCATCTTTTGGAAAAAGCACATGGGAGCTGTCTTTACTTGAGTCATGGCTTTTGGGTTCCTCCATCTTCTTTTTGCGAGACTTTGTAGGTCTTGTGGTGTTTGTAGAACTGTCAAAGGTGCCTTCAGCTGTGTCTTTAGTTTGCTTCCTCTGCTTTGGAGCAGCAGTACTCCTTTGTCTTGACTTTTTGGGTTCCTCCTGAGGCTTGGTTGCAAACTTGCTTACTTTGCTTTTAGTGTGCACGGATTTCTTAGGTTTGCCAGTTTGAAACTTTTGTTGTGCTCCTTTGGTTGAAGATACTGTGTGTAGCTTGGGAAAAGCCAAACTAAGACATGGGTCAATGAGTGGGTTTATCAGATGTTCAGAACTCCTATTGTCCATAAGAGGGTCGCTAGGGGACCAACAACGAGGGGGTGTAACATTTGTAGGGCTTGGGGATCTATCAGATAGGTACCCTAACTCTACCATGACGTCATTATACTTCATTTCCTGGTCATCTACTAGTTCAGAGTAACATGGCTGAGGCGGCGGTAGAGAGGTTAGAATTGGACCTCTCTTACAGCCTTTAGTCCTTTTGACCCTTTCACCCTGTTTGACCAAAGGTTTGGAGGAGTTGCAGACTGATTTCTTGTTTGTGGAGTTGCCCTTTGCTTTTCTTTTGGGTAGTTTTTTGGCCTTTTGCTCAGTGACAGGAAACTTGATGGCAGTGGATTCTGGCACCTTGGGCCAGAAATCCTTAAGAGGGGCTAGTTTATTGTACTGCTCCAGCTTGTCTGGCGTAAGCAAAACCAACTGCTCCTCTGCCTTCACTTTGGACATCTTCACCAGCATGTTTTTCAGTCCTTTGAACCTGTTGATAATAATGTACTTGATGATGATAGGGGGTTCCTTCTTAGGTCGTTTCTGGTGTCTTACCTCTTGCCCATCAGGGACATCGTCCTTGATCCGTTCTTTGACGGAGGCTGGATTTTTTGAACGAGGGGCACCGGAATATTCTCCATCTTCGCCGTCAAAGATCATCTTCCGCTTGGTCCTTAGGGTGTATTTACTACCAGGCAGTGCTGAAGATTTAGTACAGGTGACCATCGCTGATAAATTGTGCAATGAGCTGAACCTGTTGTCTTCTGAGTTTTTAGCTTCTTCAGAAACACTGGAAACAGTGGTGGCATGGGATTCTGAAAATGGTTGCGATTGTTCATTTACTGATCTCTCCTCACTTTCTGGCTCCTCCCTTGTGATTGGCTCCAACTTTGTGACTAGCCCATCTTTAATTGGCTCAGGCTTTTGTATTGACTTATCCTCCAAAACTGGCATCTCTGTGTCCGATGTCACCGGACAAGCAGGTGTGGTTGGGGTGAGGGCAGTGCTAACCTCGCTGTCAGAGGAAGTGTTTTCAGAGGCTTCAACTATGTTTAATATATTTCTCTGTGCTGCCATTCCTAACCTTTTCTTATACACTTTAAGCTTAGATCTGCGAGGCTCGACCTGTTCAAGCTTGCTACAGGGATCGGCCATCTTTTTGCTCCCAGCTTTTTTCCTACTGAGGCAGTTGGAGAGGATGACACTGGGGAAGAACTTGTAGTGAGCTTCCTGCTGGGCTACTATAGTCCTCTCAGTCTTATTTTCTTGATAGTCCTCGTACCTGATTTTGAGTTCACCAACATCTCCTTCCTCACTGTCCTGGCACATTTCTTCCCCCTGAGGGCCAAGAAACTCCTCTTCTACCAAAGGTAAAGGGGTTGAAGAGATGTTCCTCAGGACTGGGCTTTTACCGTCCTTCTGGCTCAGTTCTAGCTCTGTCTTATTTGAGCAGTTTCTCAGCTCTGAGTAACAGAGAGAGAAGGTCCTGTGGTTCTGAAGAATAGACAGGCAGTTTGTTTCTACATTCTTTATGCTGCCATACATCTTCCCATTTTTGGTGACCTTTCCGTTACCATACGGGAAACTTTCTAGGTCCGCCTTATCCAAAGCTAAGGAGGTTTTCTTGTCATAGGTGTATAGTGGTAGTATGTCCTGCTTGTCTAGGAAGATGGGAGACACCTCAGGGTTATTGGGTAACTTGCAGGGGATGGGATGTTTGACTGGCAGGATGTAGGGTATTTCTTTATTAAACTTCAATCCTGTTGAACATTCACTGATGCTGTCCTGGGTGCTTTTTGATTGAAAGTGCTTATCAAGTGGTTGCTCTGTGTCTAGCACAAGAATTGGTCTGTGCTCGGGGCGCTTGCACTCAAGAAGGATCTTAGCTGAAGAAGGTGGCTCCAGGCAACCCTTATCCCCAGAGAAGGGATTCCTTTTCCCCAGCATATTCTCTGTGACGATATGAGAAGATTGAGTCCTGGAGCCGCTGTCCGTTAGAGAGGAATCTATGGACACAATAGGAGAGACGCTTGATCAAGAGTCACCAGTAGCTGCGTGTCAGTCATTACATTAACACATCTTTGTTCTTGGTTAAAGAGTAATTCACAAAATATTTAGAACTAAAAGTAGCTCTTGAGTATGAAAGTGACAAAGGAGTTCTGTCTTCTCTCTTCTAAGACCTACTCACTGTCTGTAATGTGTGGGTATTAGGGCTGTCAGTCGATTAAAATATGTAATCCCGATTAATCGCATGATTGTCCATAGTTAATCGCGATTAATCGCAAATTAATCGCACATTTTTTATCTGTTCTAAATGTTCCTTAGAGGGATATTTTTCAAGTTTTTAATACTCTTATCAACATATGAGTGGACAAATATGCTTTCTGCAAATGTTTGTTCATTATTAATTCAACAATGACAAATATTCTCATGAATATTAAACACAACAACCTCTGAACATTACAAATATTCGCCTCAATTCAACCTGGAACCTCTCTCATACAATACAATAATACTGTGTGTGTGTGTGTGTGTCGGCCTGGTTGTCGGCGAAATGCCGCTCCTCTGTTTTCATAACTGTCAAATAGGGGTGTAACGGTTCACAAACATACGTACGTACGGTACGTAGCTCGGTTTTTAGGTCACGGTTTGGTACGTTTTCGGTACAGCAGAACACATTATCACAAAACATAACATATATATATATTTTTTTTAATTATTATTAAACTGTGAATAATATATTCNTAGTTAATCGCGATTAATCGCACATTTTTTATCTGTTCTAAATGTTCCTTAGAGGGATATTTTTCACGTTTTTAATACTCTTATCAACATATGAGTGGACAGATATGCTTTATGAAAATGTTTGTTCATTATCATTTGAACAATGACAAATATGCTCATGAATATTAAACACAACAACCTCTGAACATTACAAATATTTGCCTCAATTCAACCTGGAACCTCTCGCATACAATACAATAATAAGTGTGTGTGTGTGTGTGTGTGTCGGCGCAGTTGTCGGCGAAATGCCGCTCCTCTGTTTTCATAACTGTCAAAGCATGAGACTGAAGTTCCCACTGTGGGTCAAAATAATGCGCTGTGACCCCGATGTAACCGTCATTACTGAGTGAAGTCCAATAGTCTCCGGTGAGTCTTTCTTAAATCTTCTACTTTCGCTTTTTGGACTTCATATAAGTTATGTATTTTCGACACAGTGGTGGCTCTGGAAGGCAATTCATAAGTGCAGTCGACCCAAATTATATCACGCAGCCCCTCGTCCTCCACAATGTTAATTGGCCTGCAAGCTGTCGCCACCCATATCGCGATCTTTGTTGAAAGTTTACTGCTCGTAGACGTGTCCAGGCGTCTCCTCCGCACTCTTTCAAGTGTGGTCTGCTGCAAGCGGGCGGCAGGAGCGGGGCTGTCGGCATCAGCAGTGTGCTTGGATTGTATAGAATGTATTTTAAACTCGATGCGCTCTGAAACTACGGGGCGGCCGAGGACAAAAAATGCACATGCGTTAATCGCGTTAAAATAATTAGTGGCGTTAATTTCTTTTTGCGTTAACGCGCTATTAACGCGTTAACTTGACAACCCTAGTGGGTATGCATCTCATAGTGTGAAGTGAACTTTATAAACCATACTTTGAAAGTGGCAATAAAATAAAGATTCAATCATGTCACTAACAAATCAAACCAATCGATTAACACTGGAGATGTTGCTCAGTTTGCAGCGGTGCTGATCTCAGCCTCAGTTGTCGGACACCATTACTCATCAAACCAACAACAAAACATTCTTTCCAACCCAAGTTGTTTCTTAGTTCATTAAGTGAACATTACATAATCCCCAACTGCAATAATACATAAAGATGATTGTATGGTCATCACTGGTCAATATATTTTTTAATGAAATCTATCTTATCCATATACATATATTGCATATTTAATTTGTTTCTAACAATACTGAGTATTGAATAATATTTTGCATCTCAACTACCAACAAACACCAATCAATGCAGACACACAGGTTTATTAATTAAACATGATGACATCCATAACAACAGGGTCAACCACACAGACTTTTAAAGACATATATAAGAGTTATAAATAATATTGTCTGAGAATATAGCCCAAAAAAAGTGGTTCTTATTAGACTGCAAATCCTTATGGCGCATTTCCACTGCAGGGCCTCGCACCGCTTAGTACGGTATAATTACGCCTTGGTAGGCCAGGCTCACTTTATGCTGCGTTTCCATTACAGTTTAGTTCCCCTTAGCCCTCTGAGAGACGTCAGGAACGCATACTAGAGGCCCGACAAGGGGATCCTACGGTCGGATATGCGCGCACGCGACACCACCTTGCCTCTCCCCTTTCGTACAAGCCCGACCCGTGGGACCCGAGGGTCTCCTCCCTCCCCTCTTGGCTTTTCACTTGGCACCTCCCTCCGCCCCGTCCCACGGGTGTTGAGGACCGGGGCGGAGGGGGAGGTACCAAGTGGTCCCTCGTCGTTCCGGGGGCAGCGCCCGAGATTCGGACCTGCCCGGTAGCGGAGGAGCCGGCGCGTTCGTTTCTCGCGGGCAAGAGGCGAAGGACTGCGGGCTCCCGGCTGCCCGTGTCAAACAACCGTACGATGGACGACCAAATCTCGCGCATGCGTACGAGGTCCCCCCCCCCCCCCCCCTGGGTCGTCCCAAGCGTATGACCACACGACCAGTATTGGTATATTGGCGTCTTCGCGTGTACTCCCTCGTTAGAGGAGTGTGTAACAATCGAGTACAAATGAGGGACGTTATCCCCCCCCTTCACAGAGAACACGAAAGTCATTGCCACACGGACTTCTTTTCTCCCTCCCCGGGTCTGAACAGCCCGGAGGAAGGATAAATATGCCTTCCCGGGCTCCCACCCCCGGTGGGAACGCCCACCGGGCCCTGATGTTACAAATTCACGACGCCCCCGCCACCCCGCCCGTCCCCCTAATGGGTTATCGCTCATCGGGAATCCCGGCTTCGGTATATGCTGTTATTCTTGATGTGACACATATACATCGTAATCGTTTAGAAACTTAGATAGATAGATAACTTGTCGTCCATATACTACCGGAAATTGTATTTCATACTTCATCGCATCTCCAACATGGTAACAGACCGAATTACAATCTGCGACTTTATCTGATTCCACTTGACAGTATGAATACCGCCGTAAAGGTGTCGTCGTTGCCAAATTCCGCACCCCGCACGGTTTCCGGCGGGCAAAAAAACACGCAAAGGTGGGTCTGCATCAAGGTCGATTGCCCAAGACAAAGTGTCAAAAAAAACCGAGAGGTTTAGGTCCAAGAAAGCGCCCGTTGTTGGCCCGGGACTCATACGATTTGATTCACTTCTTAGCGACCGTTCCTCCGATGTTGACTGTTGTTTTATCTTGTAAAAAACTGCGAAACTAAATTAACAGTATGTGTAAAGTTCTTACTACCGGCTTCATTTGTTGTATGACTATGCCAATCATTTTGGTACTTAATTACGAAACTTGTTCAGACGTTCTGTCTGCCGTCCGGGCTTTGTGGAAAAAACGACAAAAGACTTACTCTAGCCGGGATTCGATTGCGTCATATGACTGAGGCTGGCAGGTGTGAGGGTTTGTTGCCGGATATGTCTGTATTTCATTTGGTCGCTGCATAAGCGGTATCTGTCGTCCACGGCTTCAAGAACAAAACAGGATCAAAAAGACTTGTCTATACTCCTCCGACACTCGAGACTCACTATTGTCGTACCGACTACAACCAAAACACCAAGTGGTAACTTCTACTGACGTGCCGAGGCGGATTGTTTGACGCAATGATATCACATGACA